GTCAACCACAAAGATGCTGTTGGATGCTATGGTGACCATACTGAGTTTTCAAGTGAGGATTTGCAGCTGTTGGACAATGAAGGCCGTGCTGTAATCACACAACACAAAATAAAGTGAGAGGAAATATCATATGTTAAGGCTCCTGTTTTAAGTGTGCTGCATGGCATATTTATCTGTTTACATGTGGCACTTGAAAACAAATAATCAGCAATTTTTATGTTTCTCTCCTCAAAATTCTCAATTCTTCTCAGTTAGTGGGGGAATCCCACTTTGTGCTTGCCTTTTATTGACTGAGTTTTATTTTATCCCAACAGATGTCAGGATAAAGAGAAAACCCTTACTGTTATTAACGTATACTGTCCGAGGGCTGACCCAGAAAAGCCAGAGCGAAAGCGGTTCAAACTACAGTTCTACAACTTACTTCAGAGTCGAGCTGAAGCTGTGCTGAAAGATGGAAGGTGAGAAATTCATAATGTTTCACTGGCTGAGCAAAACATTGTCGTTACAAGAGATGCAGGTGTATCCTGGTTTCGCCACAGATGTTTTTCTAAGGCACTGTGCTAATTTTGAACAACGCAGCTCTTCCAGTAAATCATTACGTCTTTGAGTTTTGGCAGTGGGCCACATGTTTTGCTGTATGTAAAATGAGGCTAAACACTATCTGGTGTTTACAATTTTATTGAATTGTAAGTTAGTACAAATAAAACAGTATATTAGAAAATAGCTGCTTCTGTGTTCATGGTTACATAGCTTTAATTTAATAACATTTATATATATTCTGATAAAATCTCAATTCTTGGACAGCAATGATGATGATGAGAAATATTTTATTCATCACACATTTGAGAAATTATTTAAAATTGTTCTTTAAATTCTACAAATGTATATAGATAATGAGTTAAGCTTTTTTATGTTCTGTTTTCCAGCCATGTGATTGTTTTAGGAGACATAAATACATCTCATAGACCAATAGATCACTGTGACCCTAGTGAAATTGTAAGTAAAATACCAATATAACATATATGTGTATGTGTATATATAT